TAAATGAATTTATTTTGCTTTGGCTACAGTAGGTAATTCTAGTGGTGACAACAACCATGCATGTCACTTCTGCAGGCTGCGTCATACTCTGTGAGATAAAGTGTCACTCTTTTCACAGCTTTTGCCGGCTCTGAGACACTTGCATGTTATTTGTCCTGCTCTTTTTCTAGCAAAAATTCACTCATCACTAAATGAAAACTTAAAGTGAAGACCTGATTATTTCAGGAGCCTTATCACAAGTCCATTGTTTTTGAATGTTGGTGCTACTTCTGCTATATTTTCACACTTAAAACAATAATTTGGTATTCCTCTTGTACCATTGTCCTCTTTTATGCTAAGAAATAAGTCACCTGGCAGTTATCTCCATAGAGTGTTTGCATATCATGAATAATTTGAATAGCTGCTTCTAAAATGGTTTTGATCTCAGTGGATCTACTCAGAAGCATTGCAGCTATATTTATCATATTGATAATAGAAATCCAAGAAATTTTCTGTTTTCAACAGTAACAATTTCCCTGTTACAGAAGATGGATGGCGTTAGAGCCTCTGACTGCATCCCACACAAGCCCAGTCAAAATATTTCTCCTGTCATTTCTGTTCCCACATGCCCGCAATGCCTCCACACATCAAACTTTCTGCTTGCTGTATATTTTTGTACGTCCTGTGCTTTCAGTTGTACTTGACATCCTCCATACACGCTGCACTGTGGAAAGCAGCTCAGTTACAACAATGGAGCCCATCAGTCACTTGACATTTATAATGCTCAAACCATCATATTTTTCACCTCTCATTTTCCATATGCACACTCCTGCTACATGTCCTGTACGCTGACACCTAAAACAGCTTACCATTGGAGGAATAATAGTTATACCTTGTCAAGAAGTCATCCCTCAAACTGAATTAAAACATTCATCTATCACTATCTTGTAATTCTTTTTGAAGCTGAACAGACTCATTGCTTTTCATTTACGTCCTTTAAAGGGGTCATATGATGTTGCTAAAAAGAACATTATTTTGTGTATTTGGTGTAATGAAATGTATTTATGCGGTTTAAGGTTAAAAAAACATTATTTTCCACATACTGTACATTATTGTTTCTCCTCTATGCCCCGCCTTTCTGAAACGTGTCGACAAAGCTCATCGGTCTGAAAAGCGAGGTGCGCTCTGATTGGCCAGCTATCCAGTGCATTGTGATTGGCCGAATACCTCAAGCGTGCGACAGAAATGTTACACCCCTTACCATACTGTGATGCCTTGTCCTGACAGAGCGACGAGACAAAAACATTAAAACCCATTATAAA